TAGTAAATCAGGAGTGCCCAGGAACATTCTCCTAGACACATCCTGCAAACTAGCACCAAATGGCTCACATCCATATTATTAAACTCTCTTCACATCTGAAACAGTCACCTCATGCAAAAGCCTATTGGGAATGGTCCTCTGCCTATGATAACTCCCAAATCATGCCTGGAAATTGCCTGGGACAGTCCCAGTGGGACCAAGCCAAACCATGCCAGGGGTATGCTGACACCTAATTCTGATGATTGAGTTTGTATTCTGGGAACATTTCCTGACATTTAATTTACTAGTAAAGACTTAATTACTAGTGAAGTCTTGATGTCTGTTCTATTAAATTACCCTCAAAGTCAGCACTGCCCTGATAAAAATCAGCAAGTGTCCCTAAGCCTTCTTGAAAACCTTGATTCCTCAGCCCTCAGTCATTACCTTTCCATGTCCTCAATGAATGTGGAACAAATTATTAAATAATCAATTTGTTATCACTTAAAGATCATCAGGTGATAAGAAAAAGCCAGCAGAGAGAAAGCCAAGAACAAATCACGTTGAAGTCGTTAACTTTCTTTGCCACAGTAACTGGAATAGTGGAGAGAGCAGGCCCAGCAATGCAGGCTATCCTGATGTGTAGTAAGGCTTTTTGAAACAATCCTGTATGATACTCGTCATGGGTATGCGCTCTGAAACTAGGTATCAGTAGTTTGCCGTCAGACCAGGAGGACTTACAGAGATCAGTCCCAGGGCTGCCTGGCCAGATCTATCCACTAGTGTCCTCGGTGACTTAGACAACAAAATAAAGTTTGTTTGTAAAATACATAGCTGGCCCCAAGTCTGGAAGAGCTTGCAAGATTGAAGGCAGGATAGGAAAAAAAAATGATCTTGACAAATTAGAGAAACAGCTCACAATCAGCCAGCTAAAATTCCATAAAAGCGGTGCAAAATACTACACTGAGAAGGGGAAAAAATTAAATGCACCAGTAAAGAAACGGGGAACAGCTGACTAGACCACAGCACCAAGGAAACAGACTGAGGAGTTACAGGACCATGAACCGAATATGAATTGCCATTGTGAAGGTATTACATAAAAAGGCAAATTTCATTCTTGCCTGTATTACTAGGGCATACTGCCTATAAGACAAAGGAGATAATTTTTTGCTTTCTCAACACTCCAAAGTTAGAGAGGCTCAGTAAGAGAGGCTTAGACTAGACTTGGACTGGAGGAAGGTAACAAACAGTATAAGAGGTGCAAAACACATAGAGTTGAAAGAAGAGGACTGAGTCTAGCAGGGAGAAAACAGAAGAGGGAATACGATAATGAACCTCAAATATATAAAATTGTTATAAGAAAGATGCTGATCAATTGTTCCCCATGTTTCCTGAGAATAGGTCAAGATGCAACAAGCTCAATTAGGTTATAAAGAGGAGGGAAACCTTCCCAGCTATTGGTCAACAAGCAGTGTAACAGGTACTGAGGAGGTGGTAGCATCCTGACGTGTGTTAAGGGCAGGTGAGGCAAACACCTGCTTGGGTGGCATCAGTGTATCAGATCCTGCCTCTGGGCATGTAGATGGAGTGAATTCTGAATGTTCAGTGTCAGACTGACACTTGTGTAATTTTTAGTTTCTAACATCATTTCATCACTCATTTTGGCTGCAGGGATATGACCCCCAATGCAGTAGGGATAGCCTAATCAGAAACCCTGAGCAGGGTCTCACCAGGGCCTTATCCAGTCTCATTACTGGATATGTTATTTGGTGTTCACCCATATGTCATCATACCCTGTGCCTTCCTCTTACAGGCTTTGTGTTAGACCATCCCATTCAAGAGCTTACTGTAAACTATTTCATTCTTTTCCTCTCACCCCTCTGGCAGGAGGTGTGTTCCATAATCTGATTGCTCTCACAGCTAGAAACTTCTGATTGCTGGTTTAAATATGCTTGTGGCCAGCCAGCAGCCACTTGATATGGAATAGTTCAAATTCATACTCATGTCTGTGGATATTCTAAAATACAGAAGCTGATGTCATTGCATGTGAAAAACTTCCAGATCTGTTCTTCAGGTTTCAAGAAGGAAAAGATCATAAATTTACTGAGGAAAAGGAACAGTTTTTCTTTCTTGTGTCAGCACGTAGATGACCTGAATGACATTACAAAGGAAATGAAGATGTAACAGAGGAGAGGCTGAAGAGAGGGTGCCAGCTGAGGGCAGAACCAGGAGACCCAAGACCAGGTGACATACATAATGAGGCTATCAGGCTGATGGATTCAGGAGTGCCAGGAGGAGTAACGCCTGCATTGAAAACTGCTGCTTGCAATGGTGGAAATGGTGGCTTGCTTGTGAGGGAGGAACCAGTTCCCCTTTTCTGTCTTCCCAAAAGATATGACAACAAAGGTCACACTCGTCTGCCCGCAAAATGGTTTATGTATGTCTCTCTGTGGTGAAGCGCGTATGTGAGAATTGACAGTCCCCCCCCAAATCAATACTCACCTTTGTAAAGGAGAAAATGCTTTCTGCTGAACTGATGGCTATTTCATCCCATTGCAAACCATAACAGATGGGTTTTCTTCAAACCTCTATGCATTTTAAGATTGTATTTACACTCACTAAGCAAGTCTCCTGTCTAAGAGGGGAAAAAATAACATTCTCCTGCTTCTTCATTTTCTCCCTCGCCCTGGTGCCGTGCTTTCCCAGGGCTGCTGGCTGGGTCCTACTCAGGTTCTTTACTGCCTGCTGACTGAGCTGCTTCTGCTTGGAAAGCAGTTATCTGTGTCTCACCTTGGAGGTGCAAGTTCTGGCTCCTTTGGGTTCAGCGATGTAGGCTCTGCAACAGAGTCAAGTACCAGATTGGGAAGCAGAGAAAAGTACAGCTATCCCTCATTTTTTCCAGAGAGAAAATGAGACTGATACTGTTACCAACACATGCCACCTCCCGTAGTAAAAAATGTAGGGGTTTTTTTGAAAGAAAAGTGAAACACGCTAATTAGGTATTAGTATTATCACTCAAGGGTATTTAGCCAAAATGAAAATTCAATCTGTGTGTCTAACAAATGCTGCTGCTGCCCAGCCTTCCATTTTTTGGTCAGCAAATAGCTCTGCTCTTCTCTGTCATGTAGCAGTCATGTCCTACCCTGAAGACAGATGCACTTCAGTGGTGTTTCTTCCTTCCTTTTTTTTTTTTTTTTTAACACAAGATAGCAGTGTTTCATAAAAAGCTTTCACGGGTTGGGACAGAAGCTGCCATGCATATGTAACATTGTGATTAGCATCTTGCAATGAACTGGCTAGCGTGCATAAAGTGCTGTCTCCTGGTAGATCAAACAGCTGGCTTTTCCTGCAGCGGCTGTAGCATAAAGCTAGTGTTTGGAAAGGAAGCCCCAAGGACAACTTGAAGTTCTCAGTGACTGTAACACACGGCAAGACAGCAGTCCCGTTGGTGCCTTGCTTTTCTGAGAGAGCGCCTTCTGCCCAGGCGAGCCCCGACCCCCGGCAATGCAAGAGCTGGGCTGGAGCGGCCCGAGCAGCGCAGAAGCTCGAAGCAGGATCGACTGGCTCCCCGTGGGGCAACACCCACGGATGAGTCCGGATTTGCCCTCTGACGGGCGCGGAGGGCACACCTGGCACGCCCAGCACACTGCAGACCCCTGCCAATAGCCCCGCCGAGGGAGCAGGGGTCTCTGAGGGGTGGAAAGGCAGGACCGAGAGGTCCCACCTCGGCCTCCCAGCCTGCGGGTCCTTCCCCAGCGCCGGCACAAAGCAGCGGCGCCTCTCTGACTGCCGCGGGCCCCCCTGCCGTACGTCCTCGGCCGTCTTCACACCAGGACGGGCTCACACGGCCAGAGCTGACGCCGCCGCCACCCCCGGGCGGCCCCGCCGAAGGGGGGCCGGGCAGGCGCGCCCCCACCC